TGAAAAACACCTCGCTGCTCATAGGCGCACAATTAAATGCACAATGAAAGGCGAGCAACAGTATGGAACAGCTAGGTGGTGTTGGGGGGTAAGAGATTAAACAAAGGAGACAGATAGAGAGGAGTAAAAGTACAGGGAGGACAAGGAGGAGGGGAGAAAGAAAAGAAATTCATAAGTTTAGAGTAAGGAGAATCATGTAATGCAAGTTCACAACCAGGCTACAGTTAGCTTCCTGAACCAATTTTATCTTCTTGGTTAGTTAACGCTAGCTATCAGACTTGGCAGGATGAGATGGTCAGACTTGCATGTTTCAGGATTTAAAACATAATCAGAATGCACAGCCAAGCGTGCTTCTTGTCATATCAGCTTCAGGATATCCATATATCCTTGCTCTGGTGCAGTCAGCCAAACAGAAACACTGAGATGGAGCCTTTGCTTTCTTTTTACATCGTTCTTTCCTTATCTTTTTCTCCCCAGTTTTTACTTAACTTCCATTTCTTAAACAGAGGTTACTGATTTACTCCCTTTTCACTCTCTAAAGTCATTTATTTATTATTATCCCACCTCTCACCTATGTCCTATTATACTCATGTCTCCCTCCTCCATTTTCCCCCCCACCACTTTCTTCACCCTGTCCCTCTCTCCCTTCTGCACTCCTCCAACACCCGGCAGCGAGAGACCCATCCGTCTCCATCGTGGCTTCACTGGCTGGGACTGTGAAGGGAAGCCCAAGTGGAACGCCGTTCATTTATTGGAATGAAACCAGGACAGAGTCTCATCCATCACTCCTTACGCTTTACTGGGCCTACTCCTCCTTCAACTGCACTGCAATAAGAAACCACATAACAGTTCCTCCAAGCTTGTGTGAATAAGTGTGTGTCTATTTGCTTCTCACTACCTGCATATACATAATACTGCACATGCGATTCTGTATATCTAGGAATTATCTGTATGACAAAACTGAAAATGAGGGATTGTCCATAGATTTTGTCCTTCTACTTATGATCTATGATCTACAAATCCCTCACCAAGCTACCAAATCGCAGCTTTTTACAACTCTGATCAAGATGGAATCACGCACAAGCAGATTCGTTAGGCACAAAAGCAGCCACCATCAAATGGTGAACTAATAATAGACTGGGTTGATGCTGCAAAGGGGTAATCAATCTGTGGGAGGCAGCTAATCAATAATCTTATTAATGTTAGTGGGTGAGAGCAGAGAGGCTATTGATCCAGCATCCAAACACTCTAACCAATAGGGTAGCTTCAGGCAAATGGCAGAAAAGCTAATGAGAAGTAGGAGCTACGAATATCACCATTGCGCAGACCAACTAACCTTATTAATAATTGATAATAATAAACATTTGTACATGAAAACTAGACATCTGAGTTTGTTTTTTCTAAAGTCCACACTAAATGTAATGTGTTTCTAAAGTAAAACTGTATAGCTTAAGATAGAACCTTAAGACAGGAAAGAAGATCCTATCAAATTGTTGCCATCCTAACAAGACGTTACACAGCACAAGATATAGAAGGAAAAGTCCATTTATTTGAGGTGTGAAGACAAAGACACATATTCTGGCAGATGTATGACTTTTAGATACTTTGAACGTGCCACAGAGGCTGTGAATTACATTTTCACTTATCTCCACTTCCCAGGCAGCCTTATCGTTCAGGGTCATCAGACTGATGACACACACATGCACACCAACATTAATCTACAGTCAGTTTGCAATCAGCTGAAAACAGAAATAACTAATGAAACATCACAACAAAAGTAATCCCCATATTTGCTGTAAGTGTACTTTTCTTTTTAAGTTCATTTAAAAGATGCTGGGGAAAAAGCCATGTGTGCCTATCATCAGAAAGTTTTTAAATTACACTTGCCATGGGTTTTCTGACTTCTGACAACAGCTTGGTATTAGGGGTGGGCAGTGTGAACGGTATACGGTAGAAATGATATAAATTTGGCCAACGGTAGCGCATGTTGATGGTGTCATCAAGCTGCACCTATTTTGGTCGACAGCATTGCAGTGGCTGCAAACAACATCATCTGCAAATTATGCTGGGCGACAGTAATAGCAGAGACAAAGCACTTTTGGAATATAGGGAAAGCCAAAAACTGCGCTTCCATAACATTGATTCATTGCTGAATGAATCAATGTTATCAATCAATTCATGCTGAATTCCCTAACAACTGCTCTATTCCCATGTTGTTGCAGTATATTAATGACTAACCTCGTATTGTGGATGGATTATCTCAGTTGTTCTCCTGACTGAAGTTTGGTCCGTTTACAGCATCCTGCCATGCAATTGCATTTGTCCCTAACCATCAGGAACCCTCACGTTAACTTTTATCGAGTGGAAAAAAGTTAGCGTTCATCCTTCAACTTCACTGTGCTAATGTTATGCTAATGTAGCTGTTATGCTAACGTAGCTGTTTTGCTAGCGATCACGTAGCACATCATTATATACCAGCTAGCCCAACTCCAGTAACCCTACAAACATCACTGCTGTTTAGTTTTCTGTCTTCATTAATGTTGGAATTGGTAGCAGAGCAGTACGTTTTAATTTTTTTCAGAAATCTCTCAGTCAGAACATGCTATATCATATTTAGGTAACTAGCGAAACTAGCGAGCTAACTGCCGCTAACTTCCTGCTAACTTCTAACTCCGTTAAATGTAATAAATTCGATTTTCATGGATGCCTAGATGTTAAACTTAATTGTTACACTTGGTAAAGCAGAAACGCTGATCATTTTATTAAAGATGAAATAATTTAGACAGTTTTAACTCTCAGTGATGCCGCAGTGATCGTGTGACTTTGGGACCTGAACCAGACGGAGTTTAGGAACCAGATTACTCCGCAAGGCTCCTGACTACGGCAGCCATAATGCTCCGACAATCCATCAAGCTGTGCGCCTTCGTAGCTTACCAAAGTCGTACTAAAACATTTTTGACAGATTTTTGAGTGGCGTGAACCACATAAAATCAGTTTGAGGTCACTAAGCACAACCAGAATTCATACATAAGGCACACTGTCGATTTTTGAGAAAATTAAAGGATTTTAAATGTCCCTATAGTGTGTAAAATACTTAATACAGAAGAAAAGAATATATCGCGATATATATCATATTACCGCACATGCTTCAAATTATACAGTGATATGGATTTTAGGCCATATCGCCCAGCCCTACTTGATATAAGAAAAAAGTTTGGGGTCAAAACTCAGAAACTGGTAGTGAGAGCTACACCAGCTTATAAAAACATAACATTAATAATAATAACTTTATTTGTATAGGACTTTTCAAAACCCAGAGCTACTGAGCAGAACTGAGTTTAGCTTACTGATGCAGCCCTCCACAACATACTCAGTTTCTCTTCTGGCCCCTTAGGAAAGTTTATTGTGCACTCCTAGTTTAAACTGATCTAGACTGCAAAAGTAATTGGCCTTATATTAAATTGTTCAAAACAACTTTTTACTACTAGTCAGTAGGAAAACAAATCCTGATCAGAAAAGCCCACTGATTTACTGTTTTCTCTTTGTCCAACTGTACGTGGTCGATTTCCAAGCAAATAGGAGCACAACTTTATCACTCTGTGGACCCTATCCAAGAAGCTCAGGGGAGGGCAGTCAAAGTAAAACTATTTTGTTCAGTCAGTTCCTTACCACCCAGCATATCTTCCTCCTTCATTCGCACAATTTGAAAATAAAAGATTACTTGACTAATGTAAACTCTGCAAAGCAGTCCTCCTTTATCACACTCAACACCTTTGTCACAGAGGAAATGTACAAAGCTAATTTTGAACAAGCCCCCCCAAACCACACACATAAAAAAAATATGAAAGAAAAGGTGACTCTCATGCACATGATAAAAGAAAGGAGGTCAGAGAGCGAGAGAATGGAAAAATACCTGAGGAGAAGTATAGCAGCCTTAGTCTTAAGAGTGCTTACACAGATCCACGCAAGAATAAGAAACAGCAGACATCATCTTAGTACATCTGCAACAGGTTAGTCAGTGAAGCAAAAAAAAAAAAAAAAAAAATCCTTTTGCAGAGGCAGCACATGTGGACATCTACCTCAACAAAACCGGACCATTATTAGCTCCACAAAAGGAGTGTTTACAACAGGATTACAGGGTTGCATTACACTGCAAAGGTTTTAATGTTGGTGCATCTTTGCCAACATGTACGAGTGGACTAATGCAAAACAGCCTTCCTTTCTTTTCACCTTAATGTGCCTCCATTGTTCCCCTTTCAACTCCCTTTCCAGGCATTCCAGAAAAAGGTACTGCTGATTCTTGGCAAATCATTGATTTGCGGGAAGGGCATGAAAGCAAGCTGAATATGAAAAACAAAGGCAAGGGGAGAATTATTTCCATCTACCATTTGCAATCATATGTCAGTAATGTGTTGCTTTCATTCTGGTTGCAATTAGGAGGGCAGCCTATGATTATGCCTTGTGAATGAAAAGGGTCAAAAACGGAAAGGAAAAAAAAGTAGCATCTCTGTAGCTCTTCACGTTTCAAACGGACAGAAAGACAGCCTTTTTGTATGCGTGTATGTGGAGTCTAGCTTATTCTCACCTGCACTGAACTACAGAAATGGTGGACATCAGTTTAATAATAAAAACATCCTAATGTAGGTACACCGACAGTGCTTACTACAAAACACGGACAAGCAGCATCAACACTGCAGTGGAGCTGTGTGATACCAGCTGGAGTTGAAGCACAAATAAGCAAGAGGTGAATTCCTGCTAATGACACTAGCTGCCATCATGGAAATGGGCAATAAGCCAAGAATTAAATGCCTTTCTTCCCCATTTGAATGAAATAAAGGGCTGGGTGACAGAAAGAAAGAAGAAGAGTGCGGTAGAGAGAGATGGAAGACAGTCTGTGGGGGTGGGGAGAGGTCGGCACATACAGTGGTGAGGGAAAAGAAAGGGAGACAGCGAAAGAGAAAGCATGAACAGAATGAGAATAACTGTAGCGACAAAGTGATTCTTTTAGCTTGAGTGTGAGCAACAGAGGCAGCTCGGCTTCTCGGTTAAAATTATGGGATGACATAAACCCAAAATCAAAGGAGGAGGGAACCTTTACTAGTCTTTTGTCACCATACTGACCCTCTCCATCTCTCTTTGAGGAGAACTTTACGCCCACTCACATAGAGGACGGCATGCACATGTTTTTCCGGAAACATAGAGAAAAAGAAAAACAGAGGGGACGGTCTCCGTGGGGTTTAAAAAGCTCATCATTCATGTCTGTTTACCTCTGCTGAGAGAAGAGAGAAAATAGAAGAGCGAGACCATAGTGACTTCTCTGGTTTCCCTGAGAGAGGCTGAATTAATGAAGCCACTAGGGGGTTCTCTCACTTGTGTGTGCCTATGTGTGTGTCACAGCTTGAGCATATGGACCAATCTATACCTCCGTGGCTTCTTTGGGGCCAAGTGATCTTTTCATTTGATTTTAAAAAACGTAGAAATAACTGAGATTTATTTTTTTGATGATGTCAGAAGAGGTAAACAACATTTTTATAAGATTATATCTAAAGAATGTAAAAATGCGCAAGTGTTCTAAACGTGTTTTATTTTTAAATAAAGCAACACCAAACAGTTTACTTAAGATGTGTTCAAAATCTAAGCTAATTTACCTAAAAATCAAAGGAAGCATTATGAAAGGGCCAAGTGTTTTAAACCGCACCCAGCAGAGTGCCTTCTGGCTACGCGTGCTGTCTGGGTGACCGGCAAACAGCTGTTGGGCTACAGTTCCCACAGTCTTAAGAGACCCCATTCCAGCACCTGCTACTGGGGAGTCTGTCTGGCTGCTGGATGCTCCGGACTACTTAAATGGTCCCCAGTCAGCTGGAGAGATGGGAATGGTGGGTGTGACAGGGGGATGGAAATGGGACAGGGGGTCTCTGTCTGGTGGGACAATTGAATGGGTTGAGAAAAGACGTTGTGTGGGAGGGTGGTGTGTCGAGAGCAGACTGCATTTTAGACACTGGGGATGGGGTGCTTGGATAGCCTGTTGGAATCTCAAGCGTTACAGATTTACACAGAATTCATATAGATTCTACAATAATTAAATTTGACTTTCCAAGCCAAATGTGGAGTGATCAAAAATGTGTCAAAGAAATAAATTTAACATCTTTACAGTGTACTGCTACTAACTAAAACTACAGTGTGAGTACACTCCTCTTTAAAGTGTGAGGCAGATTGCAAGGGAGACGCATATCTGAGGGGACACAACTAGGTCAGACTAGAGTACTCTCTCTGCTGCACATTCATTATATCTATATACATGTGTTAGTGTTTGCATGTGTGCAACTACAAAAGTGAACCATCACATCACTGCCACCCTTAGGGCCTCAGTAACCTCACCAGAGGTCAGAAACACTGTCCTCGAAAACAAAATAGAAACACTGTCCTCGGAACAAAGTTCATCTATAACTTGCAAAATGAAATGAAACTTTACCTCCATATTTGCAGACAATGTCTTTGAGATATAAGCATTTTGACTTAAAAAAAAAGAAGATGTATTTATGATCAGGAAAAACTTCATTAAATCACAGTCCAGTATTAACTTGTAAATCCAGCAAACATACATTTGCTGGGTTTACATTTTTAGGTGAGAAGTTTTTCAGAATTTTCTGCAGCAAAAGTCATGTTTGAAATGAAAGAAGCCACAGACTTAAATAATTGCTCTGCATTGTAGACTTAACTTCAGTGTCCAATCCCTAAGTTATGTATCGCAGACGCACTGCAACAACTGGTTACTGGCTCCAGGCTATTGGCTGTGCAGACAGGAAAGAACATGTTGTGGACTGGATGCCCTCAGGACAAGGACATGAGTGGAAAAGGAGGTGAAAACCCAGCCAATGGCTACTTCTGTCACAGGCTGTTGTACAGAGAGACTCCAGGGGAAACCAGAGGTAGGTAAAGGCCAATTAGGACAACAAGTGCTGGACTAGGACAATAATACAGCATTACAACGTAACACACTCAGCCAGGGCATCCTAACGTGTCCAGAGCTCAAAGAAGAAACATATGCTTTCAAATCTGAAGGTTCTGACTTAATGTTTCTCTTAAGAGAGTTACGCCTGCAGCTAAATTTTTTCTTGGCCCACAGCCAAAGAAACACTGCAGTAAATAGCTGTGCATAGAGAAAAAAAAACATTATTACCAATGTAATAAAAAAGAAATTTGTGCCGACAGATTGAATCTGTTGAATTTTTGCCACCAATTTAATATATTTACTGAATTTAAAAAATACAGTGATGCAGTTGCCTGTGAAAATTCACAGGAAGTAATCCTGTGAATTTTCTGAAAATTCTTTAGACAATATTAAAATGAATCCATTTTATATAGATTCTGTGTTTTTATATGATGTCATAATATTAGAATTATTTTTTGATCTTCTTATTTTATTTTTTTAAAATTAATTAGCTCTATTATTATCCGAACATAGTAAATTGACTAAATAGACTGAAAAGCACAATTTCTGGCAAAGAGAGTGTCACTGGGTGGCTGCATAGGCTTAAAGCCTTTGTTTGATGCTGTGACTGGTGGCACAGACTTGACTACAACAACAACAGCAGCAGCAGCAGAGCATAGAAAGACCAGCTGACTGTAATGCTGAGGACTGTAGCCTCCTGGCTAGCTAACCATACACCGCAGCAGCTGCAGATTTGTTTACTGAGTAATCCGTGTTCGCACAGCAAATTTAGAGACAATAATGAAAAGCAGCACAGAGCAGCATGATCAAAAGCTAGAGTGGAAAAAAAAGAGACAGGAGAAGAAGCTCAACAAAGATGCAAGCAGATGCTCGTGCTAGATCCTGCTCAAACAATGTGTGGTGTTCTACAGAGGTAGCCTCACATCTGTGTCTTCAAAGCTACGGCTTGTTACGTTGGAGGATGAGAAGTACCCTCACTTTTGCATCTGTGTACATTAAACAGATGGTTAAGATTCCTTTAATAAATAGAAAAAAAATAAAAAGTGACTGTATGAAAAATGCTCATGTCCAAAACCAGAGAAATATAGTTGTAATATTGATATAAATGGCCATGATTTAAGAACACATGACTTGCTTACAAATACACACAAACCACTGTATAATGAGCCCCTCAAGGCAGGTTCAACATTAGTGAACTTCAGGGCCAACAAAGAGTTCGTTAAAAGCCTACCGCTGGTGATTTTAAAAACAGTGCACAAGGCTAAAACCACTTAACCAAGTTCTTCAAACACTAAAATATCCCAGATGGCCTTTGATTACAAAAAAAAAAAAAAAAAAAAAGACATAATTGTCACTGTTATAAGTATCATTATTCACACTAATACACGTAGAAAACACAGACATGCTTTGAAAACATGCATCCAAGTACCAGAACCTCATTACTTCAGAATAGCCACAAAGGGAAATGGGGAAAAAAGCAGCAATCAACTAAAAAAGTCTGAGGCCCATTTTAATATGGTCAGTCTACCCACAAAATCTTAGGTGGCGAGTCTTGTCATTACATTTGCTGACAGAGAAAGTGCAATTATAATCACTGTTTTTACTGTATTGCCAGTACTGCTTTTCTTATGAGTCTCTAAGAAGAAAAAAGGATGCGAAGTTTGAAATGAAGTTACATCTACAAATGCAAACATCTCTCTCTCATAATCCATCCCAAGATGGATAATGGTTCCTGAATGCTTTAGGAGGGTTTTTGTATATCATGTATATGTATTGTATTATTTAAACTCACTAAAATGCACATCTAACAAGGACAAAAGTCACAACATCACCCTAAAGCAACCACTAAAAAATATATATATTTATATGAGAAAGCCATTTGGCCGCAATGTTTTTTACTGGACTGACACAAACCTTGGTGGTGTTTGCTCGCAGTGGACGTGGTAGAGTTTGTGGTAGTGCTGCTGGTACTCGTAGAAGAAGAGTAAGATGCTGAGGGTGAAGAGGAGGAAGAGGAGCAAGAGGAGGAGGAGAGAGTGAGAGCGCTGAGGGCTCCTGCTGGCAGTGGCTGGCCTCTCTTCAGTAGCTGCTTGTGCTCCTGCTGACGGAAGCGCGGGGGCACCTCTCTGGGTGGGTAGCGAGCACTGGCAGAGGACAACTGGCACTGTTGCTGAGGGGGAGTCTGAGTCAGGAGCTGGCTACTGCAGGAGGCGCGCTTGCCATTGCCAGAAGAAGAGGAGGAGGAGGAGAGGGGCAGCGTGGGGCTGGCGGGGTGGTGGGATGGGCCGGGACTGGGCTTAGTGGGAGCAGGCTCTGGCACTGGACAGATACAATACATGGGCACACAAGCATTCACACACAGAAAGACAGATGCAGGTAGCAAGGTATTAATGTCGGGGTTAAGTCACTATTAATACTACACAGAGCAGAAGATATTTATTTGTCTGGGCAGTACCAACACTTAAAAAGGCTGAAAACATAGAGCTATTCTTTTTTTGTCAGCTGTCAACCTTTTTAACAGAGCCATATGTATAGCCCACAGCATGCCAGCACATTAAACTTGTCATCTTATCAAATTATATCCTAGCATATTTAATGGTCTTAACTACAATTAATGACACTTGAAGTCTGATGAAAAAAGCTTTAAAGACAGTTTACTAAAAATAGATGTTCATGCAGTTTCTGTAAATTCAGTGCATTTCATTTTATTTATGGTACTATCCAGGTAGTGAGCAATCTAACCTTTTCTCTGCACTTCTCCTGTGAACTATCACCTGAAGTTAACTGCCTCATGTAGCCTGTTGTTGAGCATATGTTACTGACCCAGATGCAATCTATGAAAAGGTCAGATTTTTTCTGCTGAAAGAACACCAACACACAAACACGACGAGATACCTCCTTTTCTCCTAATTAAACTCGCCTCTCTATCTCTTCCTTTCCCAGCACAGACACGCACACTTACACACGTTTCCCTTCCCTGCTGGTTTGGCCTCAGTCTGAACCTTTCCCTGTGGTTACACTGACCAGCCAGCCATCTAATCGAGTGTTAGCCTGAAAGATGTTATTATTAGTAGGACTTGGATAGTCAGCAACCAAACAGATTGGCTTTGCTAAAGTTTTCTCTACAGGGTGCTGTAAGATTACACACTTCTTTATCGTCATGGGAACTGAGCAGCTTGTTGGTGTGAGTCTGTGGCTGTAGCATGTATAAGTACTCTACCTCACAATTTCCTGCTGCACAGAAATATTTGCTTTCATACTGACATCAATAGCTTGTAACTCAATAGCTGCTGTGAATTACAGTTTTTTGGTCCAAGGGAAAATACATGATGAATAGTTGATGTTATTTTCTATAGTCCCTGGATAGACACAACCATTCTACACAACAGCTGAGACTGCCTTGACTCAAGGGAGTGGGAGAGGGACAGAAAGACAGTTCTTGTATTTGTAGAGGTAGGATGGCCAGTTTGTTCGAATGAAAAATAAATGGAATAGAAATTAATTAGTCCAAGCTGCAAATATCCTATTATCTGTATTTACTTACATTCTCTTTCTTTATTACTTAGTTAATTAAATTAGTTATGAATTTCTTATTCTTATCATTACTGGCTGGAAATGCCTATCTACTTAAAAATAATTGAGTGATCTCATCTTCTTATATTGCGACCAAGCTAAGAAAAACTTTACAATAATATTTGCATCCAAACATTTTCTTTTAACTATCCGGTGTACTTCCAAAGTTTAGAATTTAACAGGAGGAAATAAAACAAAAAGAAAATTGCTCATTTTAGTTACATTAGGCCAGAGCTGTGGCCGCAACTCATTATCTGAGATCTATACTTGGCAACTAATGTTATATTTTTATATTCGTCAAAGAGAACAAACCCATGTGATTGATTTACTAACGGACAACACCCTGGCATGTCCTTTTAAAACTAAAAAAAATTCTGTGTCCTTCCCTACCTTTGCATTCTCTCTAGTGAGGGCACTGCTGGGGAATTCCCCAATATCACTCAGCTCTTTGCCCAAAGAGGGTCTCGTCCCTTGGTTGGACAGACTCTAGCAGTTGTTCTGCTACTGAGACTTGCTGTGAACTAGAAGGCCAGTGCTCCAACCAAAGCTCACTTTGGTGGCAGAGCAGAATAAGGCTTACCAGTTTGCAGGTGCAGTCTAACAAGGTGAAAATGGAGGTCATCCACAGAGGCGACTGCTTTTATTACTCAGTTACATGTCACTTAGCAAATAATATATTTGCAGAGAACCACTTAAGACCTACATTTTCAATATTTAAACATTATAAATTTAAATACACAAATAAACCTATAATAAAATATAATGCAATACGCTCACCTTATTGGGTGTGTTGACAATCATGTTTTTGCATTGGTAATTAATAAACATTTTCTATAGTGATAAAAAGATTCAAGGTCCTGTTTGCCAAAATACTACACGTGTGAATTGGTTGAATATGTTCAACTGCAATTTAAAATTAAATTAGATTCAATTTCAAATTTTACTCTGAGAGTCTGAGAGGGAAGAGCTCCAGTGGGGTGAGATGGTACTATAAGGTCACTCAGATAAGATGGGGTCAAACTGCCCACTGAGATCACCAAACGCTGGAAGGTTATTGCACTCTGACCATAGTTGCTTGCAGCTATATTTAGGGGTTCAGTCTCTCTGGTATGAGAGTCTAAACTACTCCTACAGCAGGCCTATACTGCAGTGGTAGTAATTAACCACACAGTGACATGCACACACCAGCCAACATTACCGCATAGGAGGTTAAAATAAATCAGAGTGCAGAGGTATTCGCTGTGGCTGCCAAAAGCTTGTCCAAAAGCACAGCTGAAAACAGAGGCCCTCTCAGGGTGCCTACCTGCTGAAACACACTAACAGCAGGGGAATTTGCATTGATCTGTATCAGAAAGAAATACAAATTACAACCACTCACTAATATATGTTTTTTCCTGTAGAGAGTATTTTAAGTATTTGTATCATTTTTATTTGAAATCAAAACATAATGATCTTTAAAAAAATAAATTAAAAAAAACATCCACTTCCCACACACAAAGAGTGTTATTCCACAGGCATACAAACGCACATTTAAGGTAAGAATTTTATATTTTGCATAGCATTTGACACATACAGGCAAAAAGACACTTTCATAGTTGTTTTCATCCAATTCAATTGAGTTTTTAGAAAGAGAGAAAGAGGGAGCCTGTGAGAGAGACAGGGATAAGAAGAACCTTCCCCCTTCCAGCAGTATGTGGTTGGCTGTTGGCTTGGAACTGCAGCTGGTGACGCACATCTGATTTAATTCAGCGCTGCCCGCCTGACATTGTCTCAGCCAATCGTACACCGGTATGGTGAATACACGCCGCCCTGCCCCCTTCCCTTTCTGTTCTACCCACTGTTTCCACCCGTTTCTCCCCTCATCTTCCCACCAGCAGGTTGCTTCGTAGCCCCAGTGCTCACTCACTCTCTTGCCATTCCTTTTTTCCATGCCTCCTTGTCTTTCACTGCTCACTATGTTATTCTCCCTCAGGGCCTTTATCCATCTTGATCCCTCATCTCTAGCCTTTCTGTCTCTTTTCACCCATGCCCTTGTTTCTGTCTTTTTTCCTTGCCATGTTCTTGTTTCCACTTCCTTATCCTTCCACTCCGAATCTCAACCTTTCATTCAACCTGCCTTTATACCTTCTTTCTTCTCTCTTTGGTCTCTCTTCAAACTCCAGGCCAAAGTTTCTACTATACATCTTTTGCTTCCAGTTCTCCACATTTCTGTTACAAAAAGGAAAATCTTTTTTTTTGTCTGATTAGCTACACACACACACACAACACACACACACACACACACACACACACAACACACACCACACACACACACACTACAATCTGTTTGTTGTGGTAGTAACAAGGGTACTTTAAGAAAATAAATGTCTTTCACACATATGCAATAACTATTAAACTTTTTTTTTTTTTTTTTTTTAAATCATGCTGTCAAAACTTCCTTGCAGGGAAGCTTAAAAAACATTCTTCTATAAACACTTCCAAACTGGATAATGTGTAACCACCCTCAGTGTAATCTGTATTTAATAAGTACATCAGAATTGAGAATGAGAATTAATGCTCTCCTGAGAGGGAAGTAATGTGCACGCGTGTGTGTGTAGACAGACAAAAATGAGACAGCAAAAATGGCTGTCTGAGTGCGTAAGAGGTGAGAAAAATAGTACAGACACTGTTCCCCTCTACCCTGCACAAACATAAATACATTTAATGAGATACGTCTTTTATTTTGCTCAGTGAGATTCCTAATCCATGATGGATGGTTAAGTGCTTTTGAAGGGGGGGGGGGGTTTACAGAAAAAGAGAGCCAAGGAGAAAAAAATAAAATAAGAGGTGTGTGTGTGTGTGTGTGTGTGTGTGTGTGTGTGTGTGTGTGTGGAAGGTGGAGGGGGTCCCTTGGATAAGTGTATAAGTATAAAAGATTAAAAGAGGAAAGTGAAGCATATGCTGGTTCACTGGGAATGGCAATGAAATTTACTGAATAAATTCATAATACATTTTAATTCAGCTTTGCATAAACAGGAATTCACTGTTTATTAAGCTCTTCTAAAAGGTCCAGTATCTTTTCTTAGAGATTCTAACTCAGATTTAAAAAAAAAAAAAAAAAGCAAAAGAAAACATTTTATAAATATTCACTCACAAGCAGGATTTAAAAGAATCTGAAGACATATTTACTGGGCATTTAAAATCAAACTACAACTTTTCGACAATATCTCGATAAGAAACTAATTTTTAAAACTGCAAGGAAAGACAAATGGACTATTGGAAATAATTGTTTTTCTAGCAATTGTAAATACAAAACTATTTGAAACTTCAACTAGTGCTGTGAAAACCAAATTTACGCTTTTATGATGTGGTGGTCTGGCCCTTAGTGCCTCTAACTGAACCTGAAAATGAGAGCCAATTAAGTAAGCATCTGTATCAAGTGCCCTGCAAATTCCATTAAACCCTCCAGCTCAAGGACTCTCTGCAACCTCGCACCAAAGTTTTAATTAAAGCCATTCTTTTCACTAAATGGTTAATTACACAATCAAAAGGATCAGTGGCTTAAGAATAGTCTGCAAAAAAACATTTAAAAAAACAAAAAACTTCAGTAGCAAACTGAAGTTTATAACAAAATCACATATAGAACTGAAAATCCACGAATGAAGCACAAAAAGAGGGTATCTGCTATTATAAAGAACTGATTTGCTCCTTGAGCTTAGTGCCAGGCAGTGCAGGTTCACACATCTCTTCTATTGTCTGCTGAGCCA